ACAGACAATATTAGGAGAGTAGCTGCTTGCCTCTCCTTCATTTGTCTTCACAAGCTCCGTTTTTGTTCCTGGGGAACCGGGGAGGGGGGACTGCCAAGATCCAATTGAAAAGGGAAAGGACCAAAGTCCCCGCTCCAAATCCACACGCGCTCACCCGTTCGGCTGCTGCTTCCCGGCACAAAGATTCGTCCCTCGGCACCTCCTTGAAGCGATGCTCCGCGGATCCAAGCGCGTATCCAGGTGTTCGCCCAGACGCTGCGAGAAGCTCTCGCAGTCCTTCCATGAGACAGCCCCGGGAGCCCCCCCATGAACCCCTCTACTCAGCAGCTCCATGCAAAAGGGAGCTGAGGCAAAGCCTCCCCGTAAAACAGCCTCGCCCCCCCCCCCCGGCAGGAGCCGGCCCCTCATCATCCTCACAGCTCACACCTGGGGCTGCTCCGAGCCCCCCATCATCCTCACAGCTCACACCTGGCGCTGATGCCACTCCCCAACAGCGCCTCTCCCCGTCCAGCACACAGCCCGCTTCTCACAGACACAGAGCCAACAGAAATCTGCTCCGGGTGCTGGCTTTTCTTAGTCCGTCTGCTTCCACAATTCAGACACGGACGTGCGCTGATGGCACTGAGGGAAAGCTTTCCAGTGCACAAAACTGTCATGCTGGTAGCACGCTTTGAGACGCCTTCAGAAAAAGCAGAATCAGCGCCACCTCCTAAGAGCCCTGCTGAGGAACCCCGCCCTCCTTGGGACACCCAATGCAGCAGAGCTCGAAAAACGAGGGCAAAAGTCAAGCTTGGAGTGGAAAAAGACAATATAAATACAGCAGCCTTTCAAAAAAAGCCTTCACACAGTAATAGTGGGACCCGGTCACATTTCTTCTTTCCTTGCTCTCTGGAATGACATCAATACGAAGTAAAAAACCCACACGAAACACAAGGCAGAGCTGGGATTTTACACGTCTTCCTTTTGGCTCTCGGGATGACAAGCGCCTCTTCCGGGACTGCGACACGCTTTGGGCGCTGGCAGAGAACAGAGGCAAAAGGTGCCAGAGAGCCCTTTCTATCGCCTTCAGCCCCTGCAGCTGTTCTGAGGGTTCCAGGGCACAGCTCGGTCCGTTCCTAGATCAAAACCTCACGGCAATATCTTCAGAACTACTACCCATCTCCAGTCGGAGCTTCCTAATTTCCTGTAAACAAATGAGTGCATAGAGAGGGTTTCTCCCCAGCTGAGTTTAGAGACCAATTCCTATTCTTTAGCAATACCTAGAAAACCGAATACCTTGCCAGGTTTTAGCATCCTACACCCACTCACCCCTCCCTGTGCATTTGGTGGCAGCTTTGGGTCCCTCTGGGGGACGGCACCCAGCGTGACCCCCGCCCCTCGCCCGCCCCCCACCTGCTCCTGCACCGCCGTGGGGCTCCCTCTCCTGGGCACCTTGGGGTGCCCCCAACGGCATCAGAGCCCCGAGTCTTCACCCCCCCTTTCCCTGACCCCCAAAGAAGGCTCAGAACGAATCCGACTGCCCTGGACAGCAGCGCAGCGCTTCCCCCAAGCCCTTCCCACACGTGCATGGCCCCAGCAAGAAAGGGGGGGCAGCCCCCAGAAGGGTTGAGGTTCCTGCCCAGCCTCGCTGTCACGGGCCAGGGGCAGCGAGAGAGGGAGCGGCACAGACGGCGGGGACGGCCCGGCACGGAGCGGGGGCCGCTCTCAGCGCGATGCCGGCAAAGCCGCAGCTCCGGCGCTGTCGGCCGCGCTGCTTGAGCGGCACGGGGGGATCCGCCGAGAGCCTCCGGCCCCGCGCGGGGACTCCCGCAAGGGCCCAGGGGCGCCGGGCTCCGGCCCTCGGGGATTTATTCTCCGGCAGCCCGAGCCCCGCGGCTGCGGGGCAAAGAAGGAAAGGGGGCACGGGAAGAGAGGAGCGAGAGCAGGGCATGAGAAAGGGCGGCGAGGGAGCTCGGGCTGTGGAGGAAAGCAGGACGGGAAGGGAAAGCCCGGGACGGGGGTACAGGGAGGCTGGGCAGAGGAAGGAGAGAGGGGGAACAGAAGGGAGTAGCGGGCTAGGGACAGGACAGGAAGGAGCCGGGTTTGTGGGGGGAGAGGGAATGGGGGAAAGGGAGCGAGAGAAGGCGAAGACGGGGAGAAGGAAGGAGGGCTAGAGAGAGGGACAGGCGGGGAAGCCTCCCAGAGCCCCGGCTGCACCCCGAGCCCGGCCCGGCGCCTCGCCCTGCCCGGGATGATGCGGCGCTCGGCGGAGCTCGGCTCGCTCCGGAGACGCTCGGCTCGAGTCGGCTCTTGGCGCCTCAACTCGGCTCTTGGCGCCTGCATTCGCCTCTTCGGCCCAGCTCGCCTCGCTTCGGCCCAACTCCCAGCCGCTCTGTGCCTTCGGCGCGCCTCGGCTCCGCTCGCCTCGCCTCGGCTCCCCGACGGCGGGCGGGCAAGCGCCGCCGCCTCCCGTTCAGCTCGCCCGGCTCGGGGCTCTCCCGCTGCCGCCCCGAAGGCGGCGGCGTTCGGTTGTGTTTTTAAAAATATCTTTCTCTATTGATTGTATCTTTCTATAGTTAGATTTATATTTCTAGAATACTTCTATTAATCCAAATAAAAACCCCATCTCTAACCAAATAAATACAAGAAAACACCTTCTTTTAAATGATATCGAAATATTTTTATACTTTGTATAGTTATACTCACATTTATATTTATAGTTTCTTTTGATGCAATCTATTAATAATTATATATAATATCTATAAAATTCTAGACATGTATTTAAAGTATTATTTATATTATGTATCATATCTACTGCTGCAACTGATTTTTTCTTCTAGTTTTAAACTTTATCTGTATGTATTTATGATATATTTCTAGACTTAGATTTCTACCTTCATATTCTTTGTATTTATAATTTTTATCATCAAAACCCTGCCTATTGACAAGTTAAAAAACCCGCTTTATTTAACTATTTAAAAAATATTTTTATATTTATAATTTTCATATTTCTATTTATAATTTGCTCTCTAGTATGTGATAACATACCTGCTCCTGCACCGCAGTGGGGCTCCCTCTCCTGGGCACCTCGGGGTGCCCCCAACGGCATCAGAGCCCCAAGTCTTCATCCTCCCTTTTCCTCTAGTTAGAAACTACACTGGAACTTTTTTCTGGAAACAAAGACATGACCTAAATCCTCTCCCCATGTCCTAGACAGATAGATGTTCAGTTCTTAGTTGACTGGGCAGCAGTTTCTTCAATAGAATGATCAACAATATGGAAACGTTTTAGCTACAAGCAAATAGGCAAATCTGAACAAGGTCCTGGTGGCCAGCCACTGCAGTTCTTTTGAAGCAATTTTTTAAACAATCAAATACTGATACCACAAAAAATAAAGCAAAAAGCTGACTACTGGCTAAGAAAGAAGGAAAAATTAACTTTTGACGACGACAACAACAACATTCCAAGGACACAGGCTTTTTTCCAATCTCATACCTTATTACTACCTCTCTTGGGAATCCTCATCGTGGATCCCAAAAGGAATAAATCCCTCAGTGTCCTAAAGCACCAAGGAGCTACCTACAAGTGAAGGTGGCTACTTTCAGTGCAGACACAGCTGATGACACAGCAGTGGCACAGTTCTATGCTGCACAGTGATAATACTGTCTCCTCTTCTCCAGCAGCTGACTCTCTCCTGCCATGGCTTCTGTAAATGCATCAGAGCACGACCTTAAACACAAACAGGCAAGAAAACACCATCAGAAGTCTTTCATTAAGCAGTACAAGAAGGGTTCCAATCAGAGACCAACAGAATTTCAAGGAAGCGGTATGCAATTAAACTACCTCAGACTTGTTCAAGTATCCAGCAGGTAGATGGAACCAAAATGGAACCATTCAGAAATGACAAAGAAAACCTCCCCAAGTATTTATACAGGAGTCCTTAATGTCAGAAAGGGGATGACAGGTTATGTTCAGATAAGATGAATGTTTATTTTGATGTATAAATAAACTTCTCTCATGGTCCTTTGCCAAAAAATAGAACCTACAAGTGAACACCTACACCTGCCTAAAAAGACCTAACAAGCCCCTGGCAGGCACCGGCATCAAAGCACAGTGGATGTTTCTAATCCAGGGTAAGGATAACAATATCACCTTTTGTTCTCTCCAGTTTGTTTCCTCTGCAGTCCTAGTTGCTTCTTATGATTTTTACAGTCTCTCTATCTTCTCGGGCAGTGCTGAGTCTGATGACCAGGATACGAGAGTCTTTCCCTGCCCTACAGAGAGAACCAGGAAAAAAAGTTAAAAAAAGAACAGGGCAGTTTGAAGTTAATACTTCCGATGAGAAGCAGCACCTGACAAACAGAGCAACGGTGAACAAAGCGTGACACCTCCCTGGGGACAGAAGACTTACAAACTCTCCGGGATTTACAATTCTAGTAACCAAGCCCTTCAGCACAGCAGCCAAGTGTCCCATTAGGTGGTGCTGCACGAAAGAATGATCCGAGAGGTTCCAAAGAGTGAAATGCACGTTATTTTCCAAAGACGTCAAATCTTGCAAAATACCAAAACTACAATAGATCTAAACTACAGGGCAAGAGTACAAGTGTTAGCTTGAGGAGCTGGAACCATCCAGGTGAGCAACTGCTAACTGGATCCTCAACAGAGTTTGAGGAACCCTTCAGGATACAGAAGGGTTTTCCCCAGAAATTTCACAGGCCGAGTTTTGATAGAAGTACACTTGCCAGATGCTCAGAAACGTCACCCATCCTCCTCCGGGTGTCCTGAGAGAGCTGCGAATGGCTCTCACCTGGTTTGAGCTGGTTCTGTAAGGGCTCAGGGTGAATTTCACCAGATGCAACCAAACTGGGCAACACCCAGTGGGACAGAAGGAACCCAAAGCTTGTTTTACCCAAAGCTTGGGTAAGCAGAGCTCCAGCAAATACTGAGGAAACGGACAGAACGGGGTAACAAATAATAAACATACCTTTTTTTTTTTTTTTAACTTGCCTTTTTTTTTTTTTTTCAGATGAGCAAAACAATTAAGGAGAAGGTGGAAAAGTCACCATTACTGAACATTTCATCACCTGTAAGCTGACAATCCTTAGCATAGAGGACTCCAAATTTAAAATTCACCGATCCCTGGAAAATAAAACCAAATATTATTTGGTAAGCAGCCAAACAGAAGACATAAAAATTTGTTTCCTCTAATCTTTGCCTACATCCTACACATTAGAACATACATTTTATACCATCTCCTACTACACAATAATTTACCTTTAAACTTTGGTAGTATAGCATAAAATCATTAACTTAGATTGGTGATCTGTTATTATTAAGTTGGTGCTTCAAGTTATTTTTGCTGTCAGGTTCAAAAAAACATTACTTATTTTTACTGTAATGAGCAATTGATTTAGAAGTCATCAAAAGCCCATCAAAATACAAAGCCGTATTCACCAGACGGGTCTGTGAGCTAGAAGTAGTTAGGCTTGTACTCACCTCTTGCCCTTCAAGAACCAATAAATCCTGTCAACAAAAACAGCATCTTTAGCCCCCTCCTATTAAAGATTCTACAAGGATGATGGTTTTATTTGTGTTTAGAAGTTTGGAATTGAAATGGCCAGTTCAATAGATAAAGACAGTTTAAGTAGTATTAGATTATTATTATTATTATTATTAGCTACCGGAAGAAACAAACCAGTAGTATCTATACTTAATTACTTCTATTTCCAGGAAATCATAAAGAAAAAGAACCAAACAAAAAAAAGTCACTTCCTACCTTTTGTATCTCAGGATGAAAAATGTCTCTTGGGCTCTTCTCCAGTTTCTCCAGACTCCTAGCACTGAAATGCAAATGAACGAGTGCTTTATAGGAGGGCAAGTGCACATTCCAACCCCGAACCACCAACCGATGGCAGTTACAGCGCTTACAAAATGAATCCTTCCCAGAGCCTCTGGGAAATGGAACGGTTTGTGCAACTGCCATTTCTTCCCCAAAATACTAACTTCAACACTTCCTAAACTTAGTTTGCATTTTAAAAACAGAAATTAGGGAGACTCAGGGTGGAGATCAGGTTGAAATTGATTTCCTTCTAAAGCACAGGGCTCTGTTCCATCGCCCTTCACTTTGGCTCCACACAGAATCACGGGGAGCATTTTAGGAGGGCTCAAGAACCAATTCTATTTCTCTCTTTTTCTAGTTTTCTCTCTTCCTAAATAATTCAAGGCAAGTCAAATGAGAAATGACAAGTTCAGCATCAAATTCACACTTTTCCCCTTTGTCTGGTCAAGAACAGGCTTTAAAACCACTTCTTGCTGCCTTCAATGATTAAGACTTGCAAAACCATTTTTACATGTTTTATAGATTTATCATAAAAATCACAGAACGCAAGCTCTGAATTACAGGAAAAGGTACACAGGCAAATATCTAAACTGATGGCTTACTTGTCAATCCATACCTTAATGGAGATTGCACTGAGAATGTTTCAGTGGGACTCTAAGGGAAAAATATTTTCTGAGTACCCTGTAAACAAGAAAAGCTAGGATATATTACAGGACATACCCTCTTTTTCTGAATATTCAAATAGGATTATCAATAAAAACATTTCAGTTAAAAATGAAGAAAGAAAGCCAAGGTAATTTTACTCAGCTATATTTACTGCCGATTTAGAGAAAAAAAAAAGTCACGGGTACTGCAAAGAAAAAAAAAGTGAACCACAAACGCCTACAGTAGAACTTTAAAACAATTGCTTGGATAAAAGCATCACGTGGAACATGAAGTAGAAAAAAAGCGAAACCAGTATCAGACCTGCCTATTTTCTTACCATTGCACAAGAAAATCCGACAAGCGGTATAAAGTCACTGCCTAAAACCGATCCTAGGATGTAACCAAGAACAATTGAGGCATTTGCTAATCTAAACGGAAACCTTTTCCGGACCCTAGTGTCAAATCACACGTTTTGTCTGTCAGCAGCTCGAGGCTGGAGAGCATTTCCCCTGGGGGTCGGGAGGGTAGGGGCACAAGGGGCTGAGTTTGCCGGTCGCACCTGTGCCATCAGAAGGATCCTGCCCGGCGCTCCTTGCGCTCGCCATTCTCCGGGCCATCGCTGTGTTTTACTGCTCAGCGATGCCGCTTCATCTGTTTGCGTGGAAGAAAGAGCCACGAGCACTAAGGCACTCAGCAGCCGTGTCATTCCAGCGATGTCGAGCGCTCTCTGCTCGCAAGGCTGAGCACGCCGCGAAGCCGCCTCCGCAGCCGCTCGCCCGTCCCCGCTCGCTGCCCCCGACCCGCGGAGCGCTGCGACCGCGCCTCTGCCGCCCCCGAACCCGGCCCCGCGCCCTTGCCTCGCTCGGCAGCCGCGTCCTTCCCCCGCCCCCGGCACCCAGCGGCCAGGGGCAGGCCGCTGGCTCGGGGGGGCTGCAGTACCGCTCTCTGGCCACAGGGCGGCAGACTTACCAGGGCTGTGATTTTCCCGCCCTTTTGGCCGCCACCTTGAGAAGGTCAATCGAGTCCACGACATCCGCGACACGCCACTCCTAAGATGGCGGCCTCTCGGCTGCCTGTCGGTGGCGGGCTGCAGTACCGCGCTGTGCCCACAAGGGGGCAGCACTGCACCCACCCCAGCCCGGGCTGCCTGGGGGGAATGCGGGCAGGGAAGGCGGCAGGGGCGATCCCCTCCAAAAACTCCTCTGAAATAAATGCCCCAAAACAGCCGGGAAAAAAAACCAACAAACCCTGCCTCTAAACCAACAAGAACCAAAAACCAAAAAGTTCCCAACCCTTTCTTTTAATCAATATTTAAATATATTTTATGTTTATATTTTTCATATTTATATACACATTTATATTTGTACGTTATATTGATGTATAACGTTTATTTATACATTTATATTTATAATTTTCTATTTAGATATAAATTTATATTCTATATTACATCTATTTCTATTACTTAGATTTTTTTATATATTTTTATACATATCTTCATATATTGATTATATATTTCTGTGTTATGATTTTTACTTCTGTAACACTTACATTATTTAAAATAAAGCCCCTGCCTCTACCCAAATAAAGCCAAATGAAGCCCTTTCTTTTAAAATGTATTTTAATTTTTTAATTATACTTTTCATATTTATATTCACATTTACATTTAAAACGTATACTAATGTATAGTGTTATTCGTGTTCTATATTACACCTCTTCCTATTATTTACATTTATTTATGTTTTAAATTTCTATATCTATATTTTTATATCTTGTTTATATATTTCTATAATTAGAATATAAATAACCCCCCTTTCTTTTAAACTATATTTACATATTTTTTTCATATCATATTCACATTTATATTTATAATTTATATTTCCGGATAATGTTATTTATATTCTATGTTACATCTCATCATATTACTCACATTTACATTAATATTCTTAATTAATTTTATTTATAGATATTATATATGTTATAGAGAATACCCTTTAATAGAATATCAGATATACTATTTTTATATTATATATTTCTATTACTTATATTTATTTATAATAGGTATTTATAGATATCAGAATAAAAATTATATATTTGTATATTTGGATTTATATTTTTATATTATTTATATTTATATTATTTTAAAAAACCCAGCCCAGAACCTACAAAAAAGCAAACATCCCAAAATTATTTAAAAGTATATTTAATATTTTTATATTTACAATCTATATTTAAATACCTTTGTATATGTATAATACATTATAATTTATATCTATTATGTTACAATAATATACTATATAGTATAGATTTTTGTATTTATCTATTTTCCATATTTATGTTTACTGTTATAATTATATAATTTTTCTTCCTGGGGAGGAGGGACCTCGAGGAGCTGCTGATGAAGGGGCAGCGGATGCAGTTCGCCGAGCGCCTGGTAAGGACAGCCCGGGATCCCCAGCCGCAGGCTGGAGAAGCCCCCTAGCCCCGGTGCTCGGTGCGGGGGGCTGGCAGCTGTGGCCCTGCCCAGCGCCGCAGCCGGGCCCGCCAGCCCGCGCCCCCCACGCCGCTCCCTGGCCTGGGCCGTGCGGGCCGGCTCGGCCGGTGCTGGGCGCGGGGAACGCCCGGCCGAGGGCAGAGCCCGCGCCGAGCCTTTCCTGCCGGCGCTCCCCGCAGCTGCTGCAGGACGAGAGCCGAGCGGCCGAGCAGCTGCGCTGGGCGCTGCCGCGCCTGCGGAGCCCGCAGAGGCGCGTGCGAGAGGCGGCCGTCGGGATCATCGGTGAGCCCCGAGCCCGGCGCCCCTCCCCGCCCCCGGCCCGGCTGCTGCCCCGGCTACAGCGGGAGCCGCGCCCGGGCCGCTGCAGCCCCGGCCGCCCTCGGCGCTGCCGCCGCCCTCCCGCAGCCAGCCGTGCCCTCGGGCGGCAGCGTGCGGCAGGGGCCGGCAGGAGCCCTGCCGGGGCAGGAGGGCGTGCGGCCGCAGGGCTGGCAGCGCCCGTGCCGGGCAGCTGTGCCGCCTGGCGCCGCCACGGGCTCTGTCTTGCCAGGGCTGGCCGGAGTGCTCGTGAAGGGACAGAAGGAGGAGCTCCAGATCCTCAGCGAGGGTGAGTCAGGGCATCCTGGCCCCGGAGCTACAATCCGTGCCCGGGCTGCGGAGGGCTCTGCTCCCCGTGCGGACGAGGGGCGGCGGGGGCAGAGCCCGGAGAGCTGTCAGGGAAACGTGGGCGATGCGTGGCCAGCACCTTCCGGCCGAAGCCATGGCAAGAGCCGGCTGGGATGGCCCTGGCAGAAGGCTTTCCTTGGATTCCCTCAATCTGGCCTCTGCGCGTGGCTCTGTTCCTCTCTCTTCCAGCTCTTCAAGCCCTGAGGGAAGATGAGAGCCCATCCTGCCTCAGCATACTGATTCAGCTGACCTTTGAGAGAAGATCTGCAGGACTTTGTTCATCTGCTGGATCAGATGCACCGGCGTCCATTGGCGATTTCCAGTTCCCACTGAAGATGGGAGCACCTGCAGAGCAGGATGGACCAGCTGGAGCTCCAGGCACAGCTCTTGCTGCTCAGAGCTGAGCCTGTGGGAAGCTCCAGGAGCTCCTGCCATCTCTCTCCCTGTTGGCAGCTCCCTCCCTGCAGCCCTCAGGCCCTGCCCACTCCCTTTTTTTATCTCCCAGCTCACCCCTTCCCTTTGCTTTCCCTTAATAAACAGTTTGGGTTTTTCACTTGAGCCGCGTCTCCGTGGAGCTGAAGGGACACAAAACCTGAGCCCGGGCACGTGCAGGGCCCTGCTGCCGTTCTCCTCCCCGCTGCGTTCTGTGCAGGGACAGAGAGGAACAAGGGCAGCTCAGGCTGCAAAGGTCCCTGTCCTGCTGCTCCAGTTGCACAGCCCTGTGGAGTTCAAGGTTGTGCTGAGCACGCTGAAGGGGACAAGGACCCTGGGTTTTAGAAGAGCCAATTTGAGTTTGCTCTGATCCCAGCTGTGAGGGATTCCAGTGCAAGCATCCAGCGAGGGCAAAGGAGCTTGCAACGCCGGAAGGTTTCACAAAGAGCTTCCTGAAAGCACCGCAATGCTCCATCCCTACACAGGGACAGGAAGAGGGCAGAACCAGAGACCATCATGGCCTAGCAGTGAGCTTTGGGTGTGCCTAAATGCAAATGGAGCAGCAGCAGCAGCAGCAGCAGCAGCAGGGAGTGGCTGAGATTCGGAGGCAGTGCCTGCACGCTGGCTGCGGTTCCGGCGGCTCTGGTCTCCCCACAAGCGAGGCATTGCAGCCCCTGCCTCAGAGCCAGTCAGAAACCCAACCAAGCGAGACCAGAGGCAGGGCCCCTTCCCATCTCTCTGGGGCATGGCTGCAAAACAGCCGCTGTGTCTTCCTGCACCTGTGTTTGGGCTGTGCCGAGCCCAGAGGCGGCCAGCTTGTGCTCTGCTGTGCCAAGAGCGTTCTGGGCAGGCAGGCAGAAGTGCTGCGTGCACAGTGGGGAAGGGGCTCAGAGGAGCCTCCTGCGGGACGGGGCTCTGCTCCCTGGCTGGGAACAGCCTGGTTTTGCTGCCCTGAGCGCGGGCAGGAGCTCAGGCATGTCAAGAGGCAGCAGGCAGCTCTTGTTTATAGGGGGCGCGGGGCTGCGTGCCACAAGGGACACGTGGAAACAGACTCGGGGCAAGGAAGATGAGCTCCAGCAGGAGTGCCTGTGCTGCAAGGAGCAGAAGTAATTCAGCCTTGCCAGGGTTTCTTAAGTGTGTGTTGGTGTTCCCTGGGAAATGTAGGCATTTGGGGAAATGCTTTTGGAAGAGAGGGGCTTGCTTCTCAAGCAAAGTGCTTCCCCAGGAGCCCCAGTGAGGTAGTGAGCCGTCTCCCTTTGGCTCCCTGTGCTCCTTTCCGTCCTTGAGGCCCCTTTGCCCTTGGCAGAGGGGTGTGGGAAGGAAGAAGGCTGTGAAGAGCAGCTTTGGCATCTGCCTGGGCCTGCGGAGACCAAGCCACGCACCGGTGGCAGGGTGTGTTCCCCGCCTTTGAGCACAGGACAGAGCTGGATCATCTCTGTCCAGCCGAGAGCCCGAAATATCTCTCAGAGAGCTGTGAATTCAAAGGCCTTTATGCACACATTAATGGTATCTTCCCTATCTGGTGTGTTTGAACTCTTAGCAAGATGCGTTTGCCTCTTGCTTGCTGGAAACTGCTCTGCTCCAGGGCTGGCACCGAGCTGGGCTGTGCGGGCACCATGGAGAGTCCTTTCCTGAGCACTTGGCCAGGCTTGGTGTGCCTGGGGCTGCGTCAGACACTTGGGGCAATGGATTCCATCTAACCAGGGGCACCTTGGGTGGGGAGGGGGCAGCCCCAGGGCACGTGGCAGCGTGTCCAAGGGCCCTTTGTGACACGGTGCAGCGGAGTCCCGAGAGGGATGGGGTGTCCGAGCAGCCCTTTGTGACACGCGCTGACATAGGCTCTGCCGTTGCCACGGCCACGCCACAGTGCTCGGTGCATGCGACGGGAGAGGACGGGACAGAGCGGTGCTGTGAGGCGTCCCCGCACAGCCGGCTCATTCCTTGCTGACCCGGAGCTTTTCCGAGGCGTTCCTCCTGCGGCTGGCCTCGCGGCCAGACCTCGGGACTCGGTGACTCGGAGCTTTTCCGAGGCATCTCCCATCCCTGTGGCCGGTGCCCTCGTGGCCAGGCCGTGGGACTTGGTGACCTCCATCGTTCACCAGGAGTCTCCTGTCATTGTGGCAGGAGCCCTCGAGAACAGAGTGCAGGACTTGCTGTCCTGTAATCCTCCTGAGGCTCCTCTGTTGCAGGTACCTGCAAGGCAGGACTGCGGCGCTCACTGACTCGGACCTTTGACGGGGCATCTGTCTTGAAGGTGCCCTCGAGGTCAGACAGTGGGATGGCGGGCAGACTGCTCGGCCTGTTCAAGGGGCTTCGAGGCAAGAAAAGCAAAGGCCCTGCAGCTGCCCCAGCGCAGCAGCCTGCAGAGCCGGAGCAGTTGCAGCCGCTGCAGGACGGTGAGTGGCGGAGCTGGGCCGCAGGGCAGGTGCCTGCAGCCGGTCTGGCACCATCCCATCCCATCCCATCCCATCCCATCCCATCCCATCCCATCCCATCCCATCCCATCCCATCCCATCCCATCCCATCATGTCCATCCCTATGGACATGCCCATGGACAGGATGGGACAGGGGCCGGAGCTGCCTGCCCCGATGGCCGTGCTCCGTCCCCTGGGCACCCGGGGGGCTCTCCCTGCCTGGGAAGCGCAGGGCTGGGCTGTGTTCTCCGGCCTCTCCCGCGGCCCCTCAGCTCTGGCTGCACTCGCTCTTTGGCAGATGCAGCCAAGGACCGAACTCAAGAGCAGGAGCCCACCCGTGGCCGCTTCCGCAGAGCAGCGCAGGTACCTGCGGCCGTCCCCACCTGGTCTGGGCCTGCTGGCACTGCCTGGCCGAGCCCCGTACTTGGAGCAGGCCATGGAACGTCCCTCTCTTCCCGCCCTTCCTTCTGCTGCAGACACTGCGGAGGCTCCTGCGCCTTCGTCGCACAAAGACCGGCGGCACTGCCACTGAGGGCCCGGCCCAGCCCGACTGCAGGCCCGGCGAGCTGCGGGCAGAGGCTGCTGCCAGCTCAGCGTCCTCTGACCTCGCAGCAAGCTCTGACTGGGAAACAGATGAGGACGGCTGGGAGGAGGCTGACATGGCCCTGACTGAGGACATGGCCACCACAGACAGCCAGGCTCAGGGCATGCCAGAGACTCAGGCCATGCCCACACTGACCGGGACTCCTGCACCCACTCTGGAGGTTTTCCAGAAGGGTGCTTCTTCTCCAGAGCAGGTAAGCAGCCTGGGGCCAGGGCTGAAGTCATCCTAGGATCACGTGGCCCCTCAAGCTACATCTGCTGGGCCCCTCAGCCTTTGAGGCCATCACAGTGGGGTGGGAAGGCAAGCACTTCTTGGGGGAAGCTGGGGAAGTTGCTCCCTTGGACAGCACTCCAAGTCTTCCCCATGCCGCCTCCTCCAGGTGCTAGCCATGGTCAGGGACATTCTTCAGAGACTCGCGTCCCGTGTCACCGTGGACGCTGGGCTGCAAATGGAGATTCTGAGCCTGGCTGAAGAACACCCTGCTCAAGTGGTGATGAGCCTCCTGTCCTGTGCCCCAACGTGTGACAGGTACGGGGCACAGGTGCCCCGAGAGCTCGGTGCTCACTGGCCCGTAGGGCTCCTGGCCCTGTACAGCCTGTCCAGCGGAGTCTGCCAGACAGGCGGAGAACTGTGGGAGCCTCGGGCCCCTCTGTTTCCTGAGCCTGCTGCCACGCTCCCTCCCTGCCCCTCAGGGCACCGGGGCTCTGTCACCCGGCCCCACGCAGCCGCACTGGGCACGGTGCTGACACACAGCTCTGCTCCCACAGAGCCGCCGCGCTGATGTGGAGAGCCGTCGGTACGTCGGAAGTGGCCGCCCAGGAGGTGCTTCCAGCGCTGCTCTCTGCCATAGAGGAGCAGCCAGCGTACGGCAGCTTCTTCTGCAGCGGGGACAACGAGGCTGTCCTTGCCCTGGCTGTGAGTTTCTGGAGCTGGCCTTTGCTCGCCCTCCAGGTCGCCTCTCCAGCAGCTCTCCGTGCTCTCCCCACCCTGCGGCTCCCTGCCTGGGCTGAAAGCTGGCCTAGGGGCAGCAAGCCGGGTGCTCCCCCTGCGTCTCCCCTCGGGCCCTGCCTCATGGACACCCTGGCACTGAGCGCTGCCTCGGGCTGCTTTGTCTCTTGCAGGCAACTCTGGCGCTGTGGAGGATTGCCCCCATGTGCGAGTGGCACTATGCAATTCTCCTCCATTCTCCCCAACTCTTCGTGGCTCTGCTCCTGCAAATTGTCACCAGCACAGAGCGGATGCCAGAGGATGTTGAGACCCGCAGCTTCTGGAGAGCGTGCCAGGAGGAACACGGCCTTCCCTGCCACCCCAACAGGTGCCAGTCGCCCTTTCCTTCCCACGCCCTCATGGCCAGGGCCAGCGCTTCCAGAGTGACCTGGCCTTTGCTCGGCACGCAGGTTTGCAGTGCAGACCATGAAGGCTCTGCTCTCCCGCCTGGGCTTTGACAACAAGCTGGTGGCTCTGGAGCACAAGCAGGTCTGGGAGAAGCTGCTCTGTACCGACACCCAGCACTATGCAGCGGGTCTGCTGGCCAGGTGAGATCCCCTACTTCCCATCACCACCGCCAGCATTTGTGCCCCCTGCCCAGAGTGCCCCACACAGTCGCCGGGGTTGTAAGCGAGAGGGCCTTGTCACCGAGGGAGGGCCGAGCAGACTGGAAGAGGTTGGGAGAGGAGGATGCCCAGGAGCAGCCACCTCCCAAGGGGCCCATGTGCCCTTGCAGAGTGCTGGGCAAAGATCAGACCTCTGGAGTCACTCCTGGGAGAGGTTTGCCCACCCTGGGAGGCTCAGGGCCTTGGTGCCTTTTTTTCCCTGCCAGGGAGATGCGCCGTGGCTTGAGCCCCTTGTGTCCCTTCATGGCCTCGCACCTGCTCAGCCTGCAAATCGGGAAGCAGCCCCGCTGGCATCTGCCTGCCCTGGCATTCTTTGTGGAGGTGAGCCTGATGGCCAGCGCTGCCTGGCTGAGCTGCCTCCCAGCTCTCTGGCCTCTGGTAGCTGCAGCCGCCTGAGACGCTGCCCGTGCCCGCTGCTGCTGCC